GCTGCGGCCCCTGTGCAGTCAGAGGTGCTGGTCATGCAGTCCGAGTACCGACTGCACCCGTACACCGTGCCCCGGGACGTGAGGATCATGGTGCATCCGCACGTGACGGCGGTCAGTGAGCAGCCCCGGGCGGCCGACGGGGTCGTGAAGGTGCCACCAGCCAGCAAGGTCCCTCAGCAGCCCGGGAAGGATGCTGCCAAGACCGCAGATGCCAAAGCCGCCCCGGCCCCCGCCCCCCACGGTGAGGCCCGCATCCTCACGGTCACCCCCAGCAACCAGCTCCAGGGGCTGCCTCTCACCCCGCCTGTGGTGGTGACCCACGGGGTGCAGATTGTGCACTCGAGCGGGGAGCTGTTTCAGGAGTACAGATACGGAGACATCCGCACCTACCACAGCCCCGCGCAGCTCACACACACGCAGTTTCCTGCTGCCGCCCCCATCGGTCTACCTCCTCGGACCAAGGCTCCCACTCAGGTGAGTGCCACACACCAGCCTGCCTCCCTGTAGTGGTTGAGGCACCAGTGAGGTCCCCAAAATGTGTTGCCCTTTTCGTGAGTTTAAAGAGGGGGTCCCTAAATTGTAGGATGAGGGGATCAGGTCACGGTGCAGAGGACTGAGATGGGAAGGAGCTATGGGAACCTGCGGGCGGCTACTGGCTACAGGGGGAGGCGGGGGGAGCAAGCGGGCGACCTCTCCCCAGAGCCTTCAATCCCGAGAGCCCAAGAGACTTGCCGCCACGGGCCTGGCTCACAGGAGGTGCCTGCAGCCGCCTCTGCCCAGGAACCCGTGGCCTGTTGGTGGGCAGGGTGCCGGGTGTTAACAGACTCTTCACTCTGTCCCTCTCTCTGCCGCCGAACTCCAGGGCCCGACTCCTGAAGGCGAGCCCCTGCAGCCCACTCAGCCTGCGCAGTCTACACAGCCTGTCCAGCCTGTGCAGTCCACACAGCCTGCACAACCCGCGCAGCCCTCCCAGCTCAGTCAGCCGGGCCAGACACCAAACAGCAAGATGCCTCAGGTCTCCCAGGAGGCGAAGGGGACCCAGACAGGAGCAGAACAGCCTCGTCTCTCAACCGTCCCTGCAAACAGGCCAGCCGAGTCTCATGCCCAGGTTCAGAGGGCACAGGCTGACCCGAGTCAGACCTCCTACCCCTCCCCTGTGTCCATCTCCATGAAGCCTGACCTCCCAGCCCCTCTCCCTTCTCAAGCTGCCCCAAAGCAGCCGTCGTTCATCCCGACGACCTCAAGCCCCAGCACCCCTCCAGGACTGGCTCTGACGCACACTGAAGCCCAAGCTGCCCCCAAACCAGATTCTTCTCCACACTTGACTTCCCAGAGGCCCGTGGACATGGTCCAGCTTCTGAAGGTAAGGCCGGGAGGGGCCCTGTCCTGCTCCCCTCCGAGCCCTGCACAGTGTTAACTGTCCCGGGCCCCCCACTTAGACTAGCGAGTCATCGCCCGGTGGCTCTGCCCTCCAGCCCTGCGCTCACTTCCTGTCTGTCTCCCCGAGAGCAGAAGTACCCCATCGTGTGGCAGGGCCTGCTGGCCCTCAAGAACGACACAGCTGCCGTGCAGCTGCACTTCGTCTCCGGCAACAACGTCCTGGCCCATCGGTCTCTGCCGCTTTCTGAAGGAGGCCCCCCGCTGAGGATCGCCCAGCGGATGCGGCTGGAGGCCTCCCAGCTGGAAGGGGTGGCCCGGAGGATGACGGTGAGTCTCGGGGCCCGGGTGAGCCACTGCCCTGCCCACAAGGCAGGACGCGGGGTGCACCCACCTGCCTGTGTCCCCAGCTCGCCGTGGGGCGCGGTAGTGGCTTCCTGGCCCGGTTGGACTCCAGTGGGGGCATAAAGTGCTTCTAGACCCAGAAACCAGTGTTTTCTGTCAACAAATAGGGTAGGCTTTAAGGTCACCTCCCAGAGGGGGCCTTTTGTGGACTTAGGAGCCAAACCCCTGGGTTGGATGGGCCCCCGCATGGGCTGCCGTCTTCGGGGGAAGGCCCTTGATCACTGACGGCTACACTTCTGCCCCAGGTGGAGACGGATTACTGTCTGCTGCTGGCTCTGCCCTGTGGCCGTGACCAAGAGGACGTCGTGAGCCAGACCGAGTCCCTCAAGGCGGCCTTCATCACCTATCTGCAGGCCAAGCAGGCGGCAGGAATCATCAACGTTCCCAACCCCGGCTCCAATCAGGTCAGCCCGACGTCCGCGCTTGGCGCACGCATGCGCAGGGCCGGTCTCTGCTGGTGGCGTGATTACTGGTGCCAAGCAGCATAGTCCGGGGGCGAGCATAGCCCTGGACTATGGGTAGAGGGAGCAGGCAAGCCGCGTGGAGTGGTGGGGCCGCCCTCGCCCGGCCCAGAATAGCCGGGTCAGCGGCGGTCTGTAGCCTAATGCTGCGGAAGAAGCTCCTGGGAGGATAGTTTAGTTCGTGGTAGGTTTTCCAACACCTTCTAGGTTTCGTCTGGTGGACAGAGTCATGGAGACATTAGCTCCTCGGGAAACGGCCTCCCCCTAGCTCCGTGTTGGGTCCCTGAGGGTCCCCGGTCGGTAGTGGTTTGAAGAGCGGTAAGTGGGGTGACCGATGCGGAGACGGGGGATCCCACTTTTCTCCCTCCCTGGCCCTCTTCTCCAGCCCGCCTACGTGCTACAGATCTTCCCGCCCTGCGAGTTCTCGGAGAGCCACCTGTCCCGTCTGGCCCCTGACCTCCTGGCCAGCATCTCCAACATCTCCCCCCACCTCATGATTGTCATCGCCTCTGTGTGAGCCACTGAACGGTCACCGCTCGGTGCGCCTCCCCGAGGCTCCGCAGCAGGAACAGAACCACAGGACGACCCAGCCAAGCGGAGGAAGGAGCTGCCGCGGGGGCCGCGCTCCACTGCCGGCCGCCAGCCTCGCCCTCGAGCCCGCCCACCCGGCTCAATCGCACGGACCCCTCGGGGCAGTGGTGCTGCTACTTGTATGTTTACATGACATTTAGCCCAAGGACAGACCACCAACCGCTGGACTCCGCAGACACCTGGGGGCTGGGTTTCTCCCCTCCTTTTGGAGAAAAGGAACTGGGCGGTGGAATTAATTTTTCGTTGTTTTTGTTTTTAAGAAACAAAACAGAACTGCCTTTGCACTAAATTAGTGACTTGGACTTTTTGCACAGTGAAGACGGGCTGTGACACTCTGGGTGTCTGGGTGTTCCTGAACACGCATCGAGGACGCTAACGCAGGACTTCAGGCTTCTGCTGAAACACTGGGGTCAAGGAACATTTCATTGGGTCGTTTTGTCCCCGCCCCTTGCTCATTTGGATGCGTCACCTTTCTTAATTCTCCTGCCGCCACCATCTGTGATTCACCCGGATGTACAGTTTACAATCAGAAAAGCAAACAGAAGGATTTTCTTTCTTGGTGGGATATGCAGAACTTGGGATGTGTGTATATATAAATATATAATATATATAAATATATATAATACTGACTTAAAAATCAAATTCCCCTGACATACATTTTTTTTAATCTGTGCCAAAAATGTGTTTTCAGAGAAAATCTTATTTTCATACTCAGACTTTGTATTGTCACTCATTTGTAAAAGTGCGCTTCGTTACAGCACGGGCCCGGCCCCCGCGATTTGGAAGTGTCACACACACAAATAGACTGGCTTCCCTTCCTCCTGTTACCTTGACCTCTCCCCCCAACTTCCTGACACTTATTAATTTATGAAACTGGTTTTCTCAGCGCAGTTTTGTTTTGTGTGTCCATTGGATTACAAACTTTATTAAAAAATACAAAACACATCCAGTGTGAATGTGATTGTCACTTGGGTGGGACGACCGAGGGTCCTTTGCTTACGGGAGCAGCTGGCCCTCGTCCCACCTGTTTCCCTCCCCATGTCTATATGGGACCTCTTTTCTGCCACTTAATCCTCCCCAAGCATCAGCTTGTTTTATACAAAAGAGATTCCCGTCACAGACCGGACTGACTTGTTCTTGGGGAACGCGGAAGGCACTTCGAAGTTGGATACAGGACAGACAGACAACCCAACCACCCCTGCCCCGAACCCAGAAACCACTTAAGCAAACTTTGGTGTCTCTCGTCCCTTCCTTCTCCAGGTCTGAGGTGGCACAGCCCGGCCCGATGCCAGAAGAGGAGGATGGGGCCACTGGGTCCCCTACAAGCTGGGGGGTTGGCTTGGGGGGGGGGGGGACAGGAACACAGGGACCACAGAGTGGGTAGTCTCAGGGTAGTGTGACAGTCACAGGGTCCTAACAGGCCTGTACTTCTGCTGAGGAGGTGGTGCCGTCTCTGCTGGCGGGATTACAGCTGCCAGGAGCTAACAGTTCACGTGGGACAGAGGCGGCACCAAGCCTCCCTGCGGAGTCCCCACCCCCCCCAACACCGCTCCTGGCCGCACATTCCGGAGCCGTCAGGCCCTCAGCCTGGTCGTAGACACCCATCGATGCACGGCGATTAGATGTTCCCAAGAGATGGCTCTTGGCTCAGCCTCGATCCTGTGACGTGAGGGCGGAGCCCTCCTGCTGCCCCCAAGCCCGAAAGAACTGGGCCGGTGGCCCGGTGGGCGTGGCTCTGCCTACCTTACCGCTCTGGCTGAATGGGCGGCTGAGCGGGGCTCCGTGGGTTCCCTGGATCCCGGTGAGCCAACCCAATGGGGCCGAGGGGGGGCAGGCTCACGGCTGAGCTCCGGGGCCGAGGGGAGCCCGGGTCCTGGAGCTGAACAGGGGAGAAGCCCGAGGAGGCGGAGATGGGATGAGGGGATGGGGCGCATGGAGCCACGGTCTCCCCGGCCCCGAGCGTGCCGCCCACACCCCGACTTAGGACAAGGAAGCCAGCTGTTCTCTTGACAGGGCTGGAGGCCCCGGTCCCATTCTGCATGAGGGGACGGTCTGGCTTTGCCAAGAAACGGGCCTGGGCCTGCTGGTCCCCAGGGTGGGGAGCAGCCCTTCAGCGGCCCGGCCCCGGCAGCTCCCCACCCGCCCCCGCAGGAGCTGCAGGCAGCGTTAGAAAATAATCAAATTTATTCTCTCTAGGGAACGGGGCCACCCCTCTCAGATCTAGGGTGCCGTCCATCCTTAAATAAACAGAAGAGGGGGCGCCTCACTCAGCAGGCGGGGGACAGTCAGGGGCTGCGGGGGGCGTCTCCGCCAGGGCAGGCTGGCCGTCGGCCCCGTCCCGAGGGCGGAAGACCAGCTCCCCGGCCTGCAGCACCTGCCCGGCCGGCCACGAGCCACCCGGCCCGTACTGCTGGTAGAAGTCCGCGTCCGTCTGGAACATGACCAGTGCCTGGGCCGTGTGGATCCGCACGTGCTGGGCGAGGCTGTTAGCGTCCAGGAATTTGTCCCCACAGGAGTCACAGGCATAGAGGATGTGGGTGTTGGGGTCTGTGGGAGGTGGGGGGCTGTGGTCAGGACGGGGAGGACCCTCGGGTTTATCAGTTTCACCCCCCAGGGCCCCCTCCCCCCTCACCCCTCACCTTCCTCCTGGACTTGCTTCACAGCTTTGCTGATCTCGGCCTTGAGTACTTCCGTCTCATCGGCGGTCACCGCGGCCCCCACTGGCACCACTGTGGGTAAAGTCCGCGGGGCCTGAGGCCAGAGGCCCCTGCCCGTCGCCGCCACCCCAAAGGAGAGCTGCCCATGACCAGCCCCTGCTGCCCACAGCCCGCACCTGTGAGCTGCGTGACGGCGGTGGCCGCCAGTGCTTCGGTGGCCAGCGTGACCATGTCATCCACCGTGACCACGCTGACCTCACCACCCTCCTCTGGCTCCAGGATTTTGATGCCCGCCTTGCCCTGGTGCACAGTCTTCACGTGGGAGCGCAGATTGTCCACGCGGTTAAAGCCACGGCCACACTTGTCACACAGGTAGGGCTTCTCTCCTGGGGGGGGAGGCAAGGTTCTCGCCTGCCGTTGGGAGGAGGGGCGGGGGGAGGACCTCAGTGGCCTCCAGCTGCCCCCAGAGCCCTGTCTCTTCCAGTAGCGGGTACTCTGGGGCAGCCACCAGGGCCGCACAGAAGCCTCCAGTGGCCACTGCACCTTCTACACACCCTACATGGGGTCCTTGTTTGAACTGAACCTCCTTCAAGGCCACGTGCAGCAAGAGCCAGGGCCCAAGGCTGGATCTGGAGGAACCTCCCTTCCCGCTGCCCCCGCCCCCACGCACGGGACCGGCAGGTGGGCATGAGCTCACCAGTGTGGATGATGATGTGCTTTGACAGGTCCCCCACGTTCACGAAGGCCTTGCTGCACACGCTGCACTTGTGAGGACGGATGTTGTCGTGGTGGCGGATGTGATTGGCCAACTGGCTGGATTGGACGAACCTGCAGGGCCGCAGAGGGAGGGAGCTGGCACCGACCTGCATGTGCCAGGGCCCAGGATGGCAGGGGAGGGAAGCTGGAGGGAGGCTGGGGGAGGTGGGGGGGGGCGGGGAGAGCCGAGGCGGCGGGGGGGGGGGGGGGGGGGGGTGTCGACAGGAGGGTTCCCGCCCCCT